GTGTCTCACAATGTGTTTTTTCTTTTGTTGTGTATGCTCATGATTCAAACTCATTGCTCAATGTCCGGAAGTACATTGCGGCGAAGCTTTTCAAGCACCCTCAAAACACCCTCAACTCAGAGGACGAGCTTCAAGCTTTGCTGAAAAACTCATAGATTGATGCCAACCACAACAAGACATCTCTAGTAGTTTAGACCTTTTTTTTGCAGTGCATGTGTGTGCGACATGTTTGTAACCGAGCTCTCTAGTAGTATACGAAACTAAAGTGTTTCGGAAGTAGAATGTGTCATGCTGGGGCATGCCCCCTTTCTCCCTCATTTATGTATGCTGGAGACATGGTGTTTCACTACTGATCTTGTGTTTTTGCACACATATATATAATGTAGACATGATTCCAATGGTAGTTGTTACTTTTTTCCTGAAATTGTGTTCTTTTTTTTGCACACTGGTGTTGTATTCGAGCCATTTGTTGCATTTAGAAATCTTTTACTAGAAAAATGACGAAATTTGCTATAATGATTGCCATCTCCGTAACATTTTTTGTTACTTACACTAGAAAAATGATGAACTGGAGGCATTTTCTCATCACAACATCATGTCCCTGTAACATAAATACATCTTATAACATCAGCAAAATGAAAAGTGCTCATGTTCCTGTAACATGAATACATCATGTAACATAACCCAAACGAAAAGGTGCCCTTCCTGTGAAGATCATGTTTTTCATGTAACAGGAATACATCATCTTTTTTTTCAACCTGTGAGACCACACAAGCTTTTTTTCCTGCAATATGGATTAATATGGGATGTATATACATAGAAACAGTGAGGTTGTATGTCCAAAACCCAGGCAACTACATGGAGCAAACATAACACAGGCTGCAAATTGAAATTATAGCTTGTACATCATCATTTTTGCAAAAAAGAAGTTACTAATGTAGCTCAAACACAGGGAGCAAGCACATCTTGCTTAGGAGATGAAACAAAACACCCAAAGCTGGCTGATGGGGGATCTTCTCCCAAATGAAAAACATTTTTTCTTAGGAGAATCTTCCTCCTTGTTTCTCTCATCTTTTCTTTCTAGAGCTTCAGCTGCGTTGCTTGGGAAATGTTTCGGTCACTTGCCATCACGGCTCTCATGTATTGACAAGCTGGGACTGCATGTCCAACCTCAGAGCAGAACTGGCATTTAGGGGGTGCTGCCGCCGCCTCCGTTGCAGCTTTTAGCGCCCCACATGTCTGAATATTATGTCCTTCTTCATGGCAGTACTTGCAGCGGACAATCCTTTTCCAGCTCTTGGCTTTACTGTTGCCGTCGACTTCTTCTCTTGTTGCTTCGCCTTCTTTTTTTGCTCATCGTCTCGCTGCTCTACCAGTGTTTTCTTTCTCTTCTCTCTTTCAGTTGGCCGACCTTTCTTAGGGACATGAGCTGGGTTTTGTAGCATCTCTGGGCTTTGAGCCTGTGGTAGGTTGTCATTCAATGTTCCCGTTGCGGCAGCGGGTGGTGTTGGGGGTTCACTCTGTTGCGTTGCTTGTTGCCCTGACAGCGCTCCTCTCTTTGCCGCTGCTATGGCAGGCTCAAGAACTGTTATTGCTTCATCTAATATCTTGTAGGCATCATCGTTGCAACATGCATTAGAGGCGAGCCATGTCAACCTTCGAGACAAGGAGTTGTATTTCAATGTGTTCGTTGAGGGGTGCCCGAAGTCCAGCAATCGGCCAGTCCTGCCCATGCTTGTTGTGGCTGCTTCAGACCACCTCTCCAACAAGTATTGTTGCGGAATTTCTTGAACATTCAGATGCACCATTACCCTTATTATATGTGCGCAAATCAGGACATTCATCTCAAAGTAGTGGCAACTACATTCAAACAACCCTTCATCCATCATAACATGCACAGAATAGAGTTTTGGGTTCTCATAGGAGCTTGCCTTTAGCTCAAACAGCAGGCCTTGCCCTCGATACTCAGCGTCTTGGTTGATAACGAAGCCGGTAGACGCGATCACCTGCTTCTGGAACTTGCCAAAGACGTTACGGATGTAGTAAGCAGCAGCTTGGCGCTCAATGTTGTACCTGCAACATCACAAGAAATAGGTCACAAACCACATCACACAGAAACTTGGCCCAACAACAATTTTTTTCTTTTTTTAGTAAAGCGCAAAAGTGTGTGTACCGATAGTATAGTGGCGGAGCTATTGTTTCACCAGTGAATCCAGCATTGTCTTCACGATCAAGCATAGTTTCTTGGCACATTTCGTATTGCTGGACAAACCTCCAAACGGAATCAGCCGGACGAATCAGTGTCTTGAAATATGAGTTAAGCCCCTCAGACCTGCCCGTTGTGCTTGTGAATGGGAAGAATTTGTTCTTGAAGTACGCTGGAGCCCACATGTGCCTTGTTCACCACATGTCCTTCAGGTGTTTGTTCTCGGCCACTTCAAAACACTGCAACATGTGTTGCCATGTTTCCTCAAACTCCTCAATGGTTTCTGATTGATTGATACAAGTGTAGAACACATCTGCAAACACTTCATCTCTTCTCAACAGCCTCCCCAACTTGGTACGTGCATTGCTAAACACATGAAACTTGCAACACCTATGGCAGGTGTTTGGCAACACATCCTCAATAGCTGTTGCCATCGCTTTGTCCTGGTCGGTCATGATGTTTGTGGGATGCTCGTTATCCATTGCAACCATCCACTGTTGGAAGACCCACTTAAATGTTTCAATACTTTCATCCGGCAACAAGGCACACCCGAGTGCAATGGTCTGGAGATGGTTGTTGACCCCAACTATAGGAGCAAATGGCATATTGTATCTATTGGTGCAGAAGGTTGTATCGAAGAACACACAATCTTTATATTTTGGGTAGAGCGCCCTTGTTCTCCCATCAACCCAAAACAAGGCAGTCACGGAGTTTGTTGCAGGATCCTTTTGTTTCGCATAGAAAAACTCTGGATTCTCAGTTTTCCTCCTCTCAAAGTACTCGACTGTCATATCCATGTCTCGGAATGTTAGCCCTCTCCGTAGCTTTGCACGTTCATTCGAAACATCTCTCTTCACATATGGGAGTATCCTGGTGTCACCTCCATGGACCCTGCCGAGGACACTCATGCAATCTGAATTTGATAGGTTCGCATCATGCAACGTCAACAAGAGCTGGTAATCCTCGGCAGGTATACTGCGGTGCGACCGGTAGTACCTAACACGCTCCGGCTGTTCCAGCAATGGATGTGTATGCTCCGCAACAAAACAAGTCACTGTCCATCTCTCCTCTCTCAGCCCAACAATCATGTGCGCCTTACAATCATGGCGGAGCAGCCTGTTCTTTTGACGTTTTCTTGTCACATCCATTCCTTCACTAGGCTGCCTACTGGAGTTGCTTTTTCCTGTTGCAATGCTCTCCGATGTGCTACTCGTTTCCGTTTTATCGGGCTTTCTAGCATGCACACACCCAAAGACCCTCTTGATCAATATTTGATCTTTTTCTTCTGGCCTCTCTTCTGGCTGAATTTTGAGGAAGATATATGTGTCCCGAACCCCAACTTGAAGGCATAGTCATTGTAGAATTTCTGAGCATCCTCAAGTGTGTCAAATACCATGCCAACATAGGGTGGCAGTGGCTGTGATGAAACATCTCCATCATCTGAATCATCTTCGATTGCATCTTCAGTAAACAACAATGCATCTGAATCCTCACCACCACAAACAGAAAAATTGTCTTGGACATAGCTCCCTTCCCCTTCAGTCCCATGATCCTGCATCAGAGTTGTTGCGCAACAGTCATTTTCATCTCTCCATGGAATCAGCAAAAAAAAAATCATGATTCAGAAATTTAGGCACCACACAGAAACATACAACATAATCAAACCGACAGAATTTCTACATGTGCAAGGGGTCCCATGAACATGCAACATCCACATTCAAATCACACAGTTGGAGCAGGGCATTAACAGAAACATGAAAACATACACAATGCAATGAAAGTGGAAGCATTAACAAGTTTCATAAAATTAAGAGCAAGTGGCAACTAAACAATGAAACCAGAGGCATCAGCCAATGCAACTAAATTTTTCTGAGTCTCATGTGTGCATAGATACAAACAGGTAGGACATGTTGAATAGAGTTAATGTTTCAAGAAATATGGAGGCTTATGTGCAACTAAAATTTGGGAGGCTCATTCCTCTGTTTTTTCACACAGGTGTTCATGTTTTTTCAGAGTGGAACAGAGCTAGTGTTTCAGAAACAGGATCTCACCGAAGATTGTTGATGGGATCTGCTCGATCGAGCTTCAGGAAACACCACCGGGGGATTTGCGAACCAAGTCGAAGATCCAGCCCGCGGCGGAAGCCCCCCGGCGGCGCTTGGAGCTGACAAAGATGGCCGCGTCCGTTCTGCAACCGATCCTCGGTAAGCTAGATTTGGGTCCGATCCCACCATCTGGCGCGCGATGTGGTGCGCCATGGAGGTCCCCCACGCCGGCGGCGCCTGATTTTGCGGTGGTTTGGGGGCGGCGCCGCGCTGGGCGCAGGTCGGTCAGGGCCGGGACAGAGCCTTAGTTTCTACAACTGGACCGTTCTTTCAGGAATTAATGAGTGGAGGGGAGGCGACCGAGCCGCGTGCCAGGAGATCGATCGGACGGTTGCACGCGCCTACATCGAACGGCCATCCAGGTGGCAGACATATCGCGCGGATCGGCCGGTGGACGCGTAGCAGCACCCATAAAGATATATGGCATGAAATTGTAATCCTATTTTTTGGATTCCTCGGAATCGAATATGTCCTAAAATTATTGTATTATGGCATGATTTTCCGCCTTAGAATTTGAAATTGAGAAGCAACTAAAGAGAGAATACCCAAAAGAGGCCTCAAGTCCAAAAGTCCGAAAGAGAGTCCAGAACACCGCGTCGACACCGCATTTGGTCTCCGCTGCACTGCAGCAGTCTGCACGACAGGGCAGGGTAGGAAAGGAGGCGACGCCGCCGGCTGCCAGGCGCACCATGCCTTCCTCCTCCTCCCTCTACCCGGAACACCGCGTGGTCACCGCAGCCGAACTCATCGCCGGCAATGATGCCAAGGAAACGAGGGCCACGGGCGCCGAGGGCTTCGCCTCGCTCCTGCGCACCCAGGACGAGGTCGACGCGCTCTGCGACAAGTACGGCGTGCCCAAGGAGTTCACCGCGCGGCCCGCCGGCGACCTGCGCGCGAACTCGACGCCGCCGCCGGGGGCCATCTGCGTGTACGCGCGCGCGCTGGAGGCCGGGATGCGCGTCCCGCTGCGCGGCTTCTTCCGCGAGGTCCTCGCCCACTTCGGCATCGCGCCGGCGCAGCTCACGCCCAACGGGTGGCGCTTCATGGCGGGCTTCCTCGTGCTCTGCGAGTCCGCCGGCGTCCCTCCCTCGGTCGCGGTGTTCCGGCGCTTCTTCCACCTGTCCATCATGGACCAAAAGCTCGAGAAAGGGTGGTACTTTTTCCGATCCAGGCGGGACATCACAAGCTTGCCGAACGGGGGTTGCAAAACCACCCCGGGCTGGAGACACGAGTTCTTCTTCCTCTCGTCGCCGGAGCCGTGGCCTTGCGCCGTGGAGTGGGGCGAGCCGTCCAACGGCTCCTTCCTCGACCCGGCGCTCACCGTTGAGGAAAACAAATCGGTGGTGAAGCTGAGCGCTCACGGTGGCGCCGCTGTTGATCTCAGGAACCTGCTCCCTGCTGGGCGCTGCCGTATCTGCGCCGTTGTCGATCTCAGGAACCTGCTCCCTGCTACGTGCCCACGGCGGCGGCGGAGTAACCTTGCTGCCGCATCCCCGCCGCCGCGGCCTTCTTCGTGTTACAAAGGTACCTGAAGAAGTTCTGAACATTGAAATACCTCTGATTCCCCTGTTTCATGGAGCCCTAAAGTTGTTGCTGCGTGCTATCTAGGCATGGATCCCTCCGTCCACGACATGATGAAGACTATGCCGGCGGACAAGGTGGCCGCGCAAGCGTCGGCGTCGGCAAAGAAGAGGACTTGGGAGGAAGCCAGCGGCAGGCACGACGGACACACCACAGACTGGGATGGCGGACGGGAGCTGCTGCAGGAAACCGTCGCGCCGTCGTTGGAGCGCGCGTTCGCGGCGAGCGAGCCTTCCGACGGCGCAGCGATTCGGCGGGTATTGCCACTATGCCAGCAAATGCCATGGGAAATTGTTCCATCTCTAGGTGCTTGTCTTGTCGGGGGTCCGTCCAACCGAGCATATTGTTTGCTTTCAGGCTGCGAACTGCGTGCTCGAACTTGGGGAGAAGCTGGTGGCCAGGGAGCGCGACGCCGCGGCTCTGCGGGAGCAGCTGGAGGAGGCAAAGGCCGAGCTCGCGGCGGCGAAGTGGGCGGCGGACGTGGAGCTTGAGAAGGCACAGTCCGAGCTCGCTGCGGCGGGAGCGGAGCTGGAGAAGACCAAAGCGGAGCTCGCGGCGGTGGAGGCGGAGGTGGTCAAGACGAAGGCCGAGCTCTCCGCGTCTCTTGTGGAGGCTGAGCTCGCCGCGGCAAAGCAAGCGGCGGAGGCGGTGAAGACGAAGGCCGAGCGCGCTGCGGCCTGGGAGGAGGTGGTGAAGACGAAGGACGAGCTCGCCGCCGCGGAGGCAGAGCTGGTGCAGGCCAAGGCCGAGCTCACCGCGGCGAAGCGCGCCGCGGAGACGGAGCTGGTGAAGACTAAGGCCAAGCTTGCCGCGGTGGAGGCGGAGCTGGAGAGCGCCAAGGCGGCAGCGGTGCAGCAGTTCCTGGCCTCCGAGGAGCAGGTGCGCCAGCGCGCGGAGGACGCGCTGGAGGGGTACAAGCGGTGGCGAGGTCATCAAGCTCCGGCTGGCCGTGCTGCCTGAGTACGTTGCCCGCTGATGGTCTTTTTGGAATTTGAAACATTCCTTCTCTAGATGGCTAAAATGAAGATCACGAACAAAACTCTAGCCTGATCCACTCTATGCGCTCTGTTCCCCTATCTGGAGATCGCTTACTTTTGTAGCTGAAGTTCTCTGAGATACTACAACACTCTGCACCCGTTGATAGGTGATTTTCTTGTTCCAAGCTTCAGGTCACAATTGACTAGGGAGGCTCGTTTTTGGTGCATGTAATGTTCATTATTTGCGATGTTATAAGATCGGAAATGGTAAATCCCGAATGTTCGGAATTTGACCATGACTAATCGAACATTTCATGGCAATTTTAGTGAAAAGAGGATGGCAGGTTTAGTTGACACGCTTGGCAATTTTCTGAAAAAACAATAAATTAAGCATGAATTTATCATGCTTGCCAACTAAATTTGCATCCTCTCGCCATTAAAAATTGTCATTGAAAACGTTCGATTTGTCAATGATCAAAATTCCCAAGCATTTGGGCGTTATCGGGGTCCTAAGAGTTTGAGTACCTCACATACACACACGCACACTTACCCCAATAAACACACAAACACACACCCCTATCCTTATGAGCATCTACGGAAGAGACTGGGCCAGCCTTTTGAGACATGAATAGCTCAAATTTGATTCTTAGAAAATCTGTTGAACAAAGTAGGCTTGATTTAATTAAGCAAGCCAATGTTGAACAAACTAGGCTTGATTTAATTAAGCAAGACAAATTGGCATGAACTTGGGGAAAATTAGAAACATGATTAGCTCAAATTTGATTATTAGAAAATCTGTTGAACAAAGTAGGCTTGATAATCTCTGTTGAACTAAGTAGGCTTGATTATGGATAATCAAGCCTCCCTCGAAAATCTACTTCCTTATCTACTTTCAAATTTTCGAGGGAGGCTTGATTTTCGAGAATTGTTATCCATAAAAAAGTAAAAGAGTATTATTAGTGTGACCATGGGAGGTATTTTTTTTGGAATATGAGAGGATTTCGAGGAGATATTAAAAGAGATTTTCGAGGGAAATGATTATGGATAAGAAAGTAGATTTCCTTGGCTCCGTTGGTTTTTCCAATGAAACAAATAAGTTTTGGATTGAGATTTCACATATGCATTGCACAATGATCCGCATTAGGCGGGGGGCAGCAATGATACCGCCGGCCAGGAATAAGTACTTATCCCTCTTATACTTAAGAAAAGAGAATAGAAGTGGTTCCTTTTCTTTCTATACGAAATTTGATAATTTTGTTTGTGCTCATGTTGGCATAGGAAAACTACTCACTTCCGTCATCTGCATTAGTTACGTTAGCGTAGGTAGGCGGTTCTCATGCCAAAGGGGAAGATCTCGCTCAGCCAAGTGCGCTTGAAATAATGAGACAAGAATATTCAAGGACTAATTTGCAGAAATTATGTGCACGCAGAGATTTCCATTGGCATCACACTCCTGCTTGGGGGAAATCTGGTGGCCTATTATTGTGTATTAACTACACTACTCTAGATGTTATTTCCCAAGAGGACGTGGATTGTTATATCAAAAGGATCGTATAGGATGTTGAAGATAAATTTATTTGGGATTTAGTTCTTGCTTATGGAGAAGCCCAGCCTGATAGGAAAGCCAAATTATTGTCTGAAAGTTTTGCACGATTGCATCATTCATCCACTAATTGCAGGTGATTTTATTATAATTAGGAAATGATCCGGTAAAAGTAAACCAGGTACATCTGGGCATTGGATTTTTTTGTTCAATGCAATTCTTGAACAAGTTGGACTTAGCGAGCTTGATCTTCATGGAAGATGATACGTCCATTTTGTATCATGTTTTCCTACTATTATTTATAATGTTTTGGTCTTTATTTCACTTTATGGTGCAATTCTAATGCCTTTTCCCTCTTAATTTGCAAGATCTACATGGAGCAAATTTGGTAAATGGTTTCAGTTTAAATGGTTAAAAAACAAATGCAATTAGATATCATCGTTTCATGTCAAACATACAGGAGAAAAAAAAATCAATATGTGCTCACTAACCTGACTTTTTCAGTATAACATCTGGTCTCACCCTAACTTGGTTGTACATACCATTAGAAATATGATGGGTATCACCCCCAACAACAGTGCCCTTTTTCCATTGTTCAACAATTATCTCAAAAGAAAAGAGAACACACCACTAACTTCTCAATGTGCATCATGACTCAGTAAAGCTTCCAGTGCATGAACATACTTCCTCCTTTTCCTTTTTATATAGAACATATGGCCGTGTGTTGCACTGGGAGAAAAATATTGGCGTTGTCACTCATTTACAAACCCACTTCGTGTGCCACACTATTTCTTCTAGCCAACTTTGACACTGCGGGATATTTCTTTTGTTCAACTTTGACAAACTTCACAGCTAGCAACAATGTGGAAGTAATGTTTTTGTCGTCATGCCTACAACAGTTTGACAAAAAGGAAATATAAAAATAGCTACATTCAAGAACAGAGGGAAAACTTTGTCAAACTTGCAAACCTTGTGTTACTTTTCTTGCTTTTAGCAAGTGAATGTTACTTGTGTGTAGATGATATCTGAAAAGCTCCTAGAGAAAGATGGAAAGTGTTAACTATACTGAGTTAACTATATATAATACAAAACGTATGCAAGGATACACTTTTCTATACATCAACTTACAGAGGATATATTCTGTTTATTCAGCTAAACTTGTAAAGTCACACATTTACAAGCTGCATCTAGTTCTCCTCCAAAAGAAAAGAAAATAAACATGAAAATATTAAATATTAAATCCCAAGATCTCAATCATGAAATCATTGGAAGCAATGTGATTCACAAGAGAGGCCTTTGGGTTCACCCTGCTGCAATTTATGCATCAGCGATTGTTAGAGAATCAAGTGCTATTATACCTCGAGATAATGTATTATGTGGTCGCCAAGCTTGACGTCAATTCAGGGAGTTCAGTTCCAAATAATTCCAAACAGGTTAACCACCCTAGAGATACTGTGGAAATCCTCCCCCAGCAGCGATTTGAGTGTTCAGGTTCACATAGTTATGGACTACTTGCGAGTAAAAATAAACTTTGAAGCTGATATAGTATCACGACAACCTGAATAACAACATCTGGATGTGAAATTGCACTTAAAACTTGCTGCGTTTATCGTTGGTTTTGGAAGCAAAATAATCTATGGTGGTAAAGAAGAGCCTAGAGGATGGTTCTCCAGCTCTTTGCTTTCAGAAGTTTTGGAAGCCGTTCGATACGTGTGCAGAAGTGAATGTGCCACTTCAGTTGTGCATAAACGCTCCATCATATGAGCTTCAACAACACAACCGCCACATTAAATCAGTCATCATTTACATCTAGAACCGAATTTGTCAGCTTCAGTCTTGCAAAAAACATGACACATAATCAGGGTTGATGATTTGAGGTATTCTCTTCACCGGGAAAAATGTGCGTGTGTCTACAGAGGAACGACAATGGCAGCAGGCTAACATCATCTATAATGTGGGTCGCCTGTGTAGACGCTGAGAAATACAAAAAATAAATATTGTAAAATTAAAAACCATCTAAGCGTCCTCCCTGTGTCAGTCAGAAATAAGAAACTCGAACCATTGGTAATAAGAAGTCAACCTAAATTTTACAACTCAACAAATTAAGTCTGTTTAGATGTGCCCTAGTTATCGCGTGTCTAATTGACTCAATCAATCTAGAAAGAAAAGAAAAAGAAAACAAAAGAAAATGCTTGCATGAATCTTAGCATAAAATCAATGGCATAGGACTTAGATTAGATGTACAATACTTAGAACACATCTAGATGTGCTTTTTTTGCGGGATACATCTAGATTTTTCTTTTGGAGGATACATCTAGATGTGCTTTAGCAAAACTGTAAAAATAATAGATTTGAAATTCAATGCAAAATAGAGAGATGTATTAAGAAACATAGGTATTTTCCAAGTTACTTATGTTCACATTTAGCACACCCTTTATATCAATTTTTTTTTTTTGCAAAAAAGCACACCCTCTAATAGGCACTTCTTTTTAGACTCATATTAAGAAGCACATGCATTCACAACCTTGGGATCAGGCTTGGGGTTATAAGAGAACAGACATTATTTGACAGTTCAGTAAAACTAAAATGGTGCTCTCGGCCAATAGCTGCATGCATATAAATCAGTTTGAAGTGTAAAAAAATCAGATGGGTTTGCCTTTTAAATAACTCATACAGGTATGCATGCCATGAATGTTTTTATAAACAAGCTTATTTTGTCTACAACAAATACTACTTGAAACTTTAATGAGGTAAAATAAGGGCAGAACAAAACGAACTCCTTAACTAATATATCTACCAAAAGTGGCCAAAGAAATCCTAAGTCCTAAATAGGCTCACTTTAAGATTGTGCTGAACTACTCCTATTCCATGAATAAGCACTTGAGAAGAGATAATTGTTTAATTATGGCATAAGAAACTCGGGACTCATCGAGTCAAAGCAAGAAATAAGCTTGATCAGATTTGAACCATTGCTTGATAGTATGACGAGAGCAAGTAGCCACAAAGCACCATGTGCACGCGATTAAAACATTTCTCGGATCGGCTCCTTCAGCACAAAGCACCATGTACTGACCGGCGATGGGTGTGACCTTCTGTGGCGGAACTTCTCCTCAGCAGTTCATATAGGCGAATTTTTGTGGACTGATTCTGCAGTATTTTTATCTGCTTTGCCCAGTTAAATAGTCCAAATACTCCACTCCAACTACTATCAAGATACCAGTCATGGTCAAAAGAGAACTGCCGTCTTGCACTCCAATATGGTGGTATGGGCAGTGGGCAGATTCTGAATTCTAGTGTCGTTGGCAACCAAACTCACCTACAGTCACATGGATATCCTTTTTATGTAACCAACTAATCAACCCGAAACACCAAAAGCAAAATATCAAACTGTAAAACGCTCTGCCTCACCTGCGTGTATTTCTTGACGGCCGAAGATCATC